AGTAGCGAACTAGGATAGTTCATAATATCATAGTTCACAATTAGAATTTAAATATTTTAATAAGCCCTTCACATTTCAATTTTACTAGCGGGTTTCGATTGGTTAAGTTACGGCATTGCAGCCATAACGTGACTTTATTCATTTAATTGAAGTATATCTCAGCAGGTACATGGTCAATTACAATAAGGCAGTGTGTGATACTTATATCAAAATTTAGTTTCCTTCCTATAATATGTGTAACATTAATCAAAAGTCAAAATATTATCTTTAGAACGCCACAGTTTCAGTAGCCAATAACATAATTTAAATACAAAATTCTATAAATTTCTGTAAATTTCGATTTACCCTCTCTTGCTTAATATAGATATTTGTATGTTAATAGATAGCCATCAATATTATATAATCGGTGAACAGAATGAAATGTGTGAATTGTTTAGTATGTCTACTAAGCCAGTAGTTTTCGCATAAAACGTTATTGAACACGTAACCCGTTTTAGTTATTATTAATTTTTGGGACCCCCTTATGTGTTTCTAATATAAAAGTATGATTAATAAAAAAATACTATTTTCAAAAATAGACCAATTATTTTCAATTAATTAATAATTATTATTACTATTATATTTGTATTTTATTTTACAATTTAATAAAATACATTTTTTTAAATAATGTAAAGGTATTAGGTACGACTCAGCTCTAAAGCTCACGTGGGCACGTGGCCTAAAATTTGGTCGTGACTAAGGAACTGTGATACTTGTCGAATACCACCTTTCTAAATGATATATATTTATGATTATTAGAGTTAGGGACTTCATGCCCTTAAAAACCCTAAAATATGCTTGCATTTATGCCCTGAAGAACAGATAATTATATTATTACAATATGCATTAAAAAAAATGTAATTCTTTTATAAAATCGTTAAAGCGATCATAAGGTTTTGGTTTAGGTCTTTTAATTATTTTACTATGAGTTCACTCGAAAGAAAAAACACGGCACGAAAACAAAATACAAAGAACGCACAACACCAACTGTCAACTTTTACTATTCACCGGACTTCTATTCTGGCCTCTATCTACAACTGGTCATAGTCTATAAAATGTTTTTTTTGGTTATCGGCTTATCGCCTATCGGGAATCACGCGTGTAGTGTACCAATAAGTAACAATACAACGCAAACATAAATTTTTAAATATTTATATCCGGTCCAGGAAATCTATTTAAAATTAACTTTTTTTATAAAATTAAAAAACTTACTTCTTATATAAATAATTGTCAAATATGCACTTATGAATGAAATGTAGTCAAATATGCAAAATATGTGACTATAAATTTTAAATATAAACTTGCATTGCTATGAAACAAATTTCTATATTACTATTAATGATTATTTAAAAACATGCAAACTCCTAGAAGTCCCGAGCCCTAATGATTATATACCGAGCTAAATATTAATTAAAAGCCGATTCTAGAACTTCTGCCGACAGTGCGTCTTTCGGAAATGTACCTGATGGACGTGGATTGTGTGGTATTGGGTTAAAAAAAAAAAATTAGGTACTATATACACGTCAATTTACAACCATTTTTTAACAATTCAAATTTTTTTGCTTTGGGATGTTAAAACGAAAAATAATTTTGACTCAATCCGGGAGTATTTGGATGATGATATTATAACCGATGTATGATGGGTACTTACCTATAAATATTCAGTATCGTGCGCGTACTATGGTCTGAGACTACGGTTAAAGACTTCCGTCGGTCGTGTGCGGCGGTCGTCTCGGTCGCGCGCGAATAACATACTCCGGTGCAGTGCAAGTGCAGCGCGGTGGCGGGCCGAGGGTTGATTACACCGTCGAAGCGTTCGGCGAAAAGCTCTGGTGGCGGCAGCGTCCAGGGGCGGGTCCTTTCCCTGAACCCAGACTCGGGCCAATGGCTGATACCGGAGCGACTTGCCACGCGCGGTCCTGCCCGGCCGACCCTTCGGCGGGTGGTCCTTAAATACCGCGTCGACACCGCCGCCCCGACCACCCGCTAGCTGTATCTGTGTGTATAGTGCTTGCGTACTTACTCTGCACGCCGCAGGGCCGAGTGGATCGCACCAACCCCTCCAACCCTGTCTCCGCCACCGCTACACGCGGTGATTTCGGAATACATTTCATAAAACCACAACGCGTATCTATGCATATGTTGTATGTATATATTATATACATGTATACACGTCGTACAGGGTGCAGTATCTGGAGAATTGTTGTCTTATAACAATTTCAAATCTAGAAAAATATTAAATGTAAAAATTGTGTGTAACGCCATTACAGCTTACAAACTGCAATAGATACGTATTTGAGAATAAAAAATAACGTGCAATCATATTCTCATACTGTTGAACAGAAAATTAAAATACCTATACCGGTTAAATATCGTATAATGACAAACGAAAAAAAAAATAGGGGAGTAGACTCTAAAACCCTGATAAACATTTACAAATCATTAATTAGATCAATTTTACATTACTGGATCACCCCTATATATGACAGCGAAAAACTCCGTACTAGCAATATTATTGATGTTATCCATGACGCTGGCCTAAGAATGGTATCGGGTGCCTCTAGAAGTAGTCCCATAAACAGCATAATTATTAGGTATTACTGGAGATTGGAGAACAACCACTTAGTAGTCGAAGAAATCGACTATGTTAAAATAGATACGCAATTTGAACAGCACACTGAACCAAAAATAACGATAAATATAATACAAATATATATTTATTTGACAAAAATATCATCAATAATGACCCCATAAACACTTTTATCAAATTGATGAAGGTAAATTTGTCATCTCGGAAATTGAAAGTTTGTTTATAGAATTTGTATCAGTTTAATAAAGTATTTATTGAGTCAATGAATTTAATTTAATACTATTGATGAATCCTTTTTGACCTTAAAAAAATGCATTATTAGCTAATAATAAATATATTCTTTAGGCTGTACCAATAATTTAAAAACTTGACAAAATATTAATTATATAAAAAAAAATATTGTAGTTCAACTAAAAAAATATTTGGATTATTAAAAATTTTTTTTTCATTTATTATTTTTATTTTAAACATCTGGCTGTACAAGTATGTAATAAATTCATCATTATTTCATACTGGCTTTGCGATGAAACCAGGATATTTTCATATATGTAATCAATATAATATGTATAAATATTAATGTAAAATTATTTAATACATACACTTTCAAATACAGATAATTATAAATATAAAATAAAATAACATAATATTTTAGAACTTGAAAAAAAATATTGTAATCATTAAATTAGTCTTAAAAACAACAAAATAATTTCATATAAGAAAAACAATAAACAAAATAATTTAATACTTTAGTATTTAGATACATAAATGTAATGAATAAAATTATTGATACACATATTTTAACATTGTGCCCATAGATTTGAATCAAAATAGTAAACATAACAAAACAACAGAATACTTTGGATATAAAAATCAAATTAGTTAGTTTAGATATAAAATGGTATGTCATGAAGATACAACTATATAAAGTGCAACTGACCCAGTGAACGAAATTTACACTTAACAAAAATGCTTTTAATTGCAGCAAAAAATTAATACAACCTATGCACAAAAGGATTAAAAAGAATGAATGAGAGCTCAAGTTAGAAATAAATAATGTATTGACTAGAGAAGTATTCGTAAAACCGCCGCGGACAACGACAAAATATTCATTTGATGTGTCAATAGCGAAAAAAAGAAACCTAAATCGGCTAAATCATACATAATATGCAAAAATGTATTCTACGAAGCAATGAACAAATTACTGGACCACATACTTAAGTATAAAAACAGACAAAGAGTTGGGTTTTGCTGCAGTTATCCAACAAACCGAGCTTTCTGACAGGTTGTCGGATAATTGTAGCATATATACAGCTGAGGAACTCGTTACATATAAAGCCCTATCGGCTATCTTATAAAATAAGTACCAACTTGCGAAATTAAAAGTACATCATTTTAATGGACTCCATGAGCACTTTATCTAATCTAGTCTTAGTAATATTAATGACGATAACGCTATCGTTATTAAAATAATCAACTTGACTCATAAATTTAACAATAACATTATTTGTTCATGGATATTCGGTCACTGTGGAATACCAAACTGGTTGTGAAAAAGCGGACATACTTGCCAAAGAAGCCAATAACCCACATCAACGAACCCTCTGGAATATAAAATCAGACAAAGATATAAAAAAAAAATTTCAAAAATAATTCTGAGAAATTATAACTACATAATATTATGTTATACAATATTTACATAATATGTATATATGTTTAATGTATAATAATGATATGTACCTATTGTATTTGTATTATTTTAATAATAAATAAATATTTGTTGAACATATTATTATTTAAAATTATGTTATTATTATGTATGTAAAAATTAATGAAAATGTGAATAAAAATAATTTTAAAATATCATATAGTATAATAACTAACATTTATTGAAAAAATAGGTTACTTTAGCTTGGAAGACTTCGATGCATAGTAATTTCGTGTACTAAGGCATTTTGTTATATTTTAACTGCATTGGAGAACAATGAAGTATTCAGTGTATCGATAGAAGAAATGAATTCACGCACGCCTTTCACTGCTGCCAGTGCCTCCTGTAGACTTCCTATTTGTGGAGTTAGATCCTTTTCTTGATCTTGGGTCTCATCTTTTTCTTCGTCACTTTCTACCTCATTTAGCGTGGACATATTCGTACTATCGTTGATATCGGTGTATAATTATCAAAATCAAAAATTAATTTGCCATAAAAGTGTACGTTATCTAGAGTGTCCGGTATTTAGTGATTTTCCTATATAAAAGTGGTGAAAATGTCCCCGCTCCTGTATTTATTCTTCGTCAGATTATTGGTCTAACTGCATGAAAAATCCAATAACTTAGAACCCCCTTAATAATAATTGGGATTATCCATATAGGCGACATGGACGCCAATGTGACTGCGATAGCGGTGGTTCAAAAATCGGTTAAGATCTCGGAGGATAAGCGTAATCCCGGTCCACACGGAGTCTGGTTTTTGTTGTGTTTCTGTTTCTGTTTTTGAAAACAATTAAGATAATCCCGTCTGTCTTGGGAAAAGTTGAGCTTATGTTTTGTTTTGTTTTCTCGTCGTTTGTGGACCTGGCATAAGAACCAAAAGTGCCGTTGCACTCTCGCGAGTCTCCGTCATCGATATGCACGAAATTGCACAGTCCGCTCCAATTGCACTCGCCACTCATCCACCCAGGGCCGACCACGCCACCACGGGCACATAAATAGGTAATCACCAGCCAGTAACTACAATTGTTCAATCTACATCAATGCTATTGCGTTTACCCCCACTCATTTTTCTATCTGCCCTGTCTTTGTATATTGCATTTTGTTTTTTTTTTCGCTTGTTCTTATGATATTATTTAAGTAGCATTTTGTTTTTGTGTATTTTCACAAAAAATATTAATTTGTGCAACCGTTCGAGTAAACAAATTCTGAAAAACCAGAAATCTAACATTCTGCTGCTGTATAGATGTGTTCAATGTTAGTCAACTTGTTTTCTTAAAACGAGTAGGTATTTTTAAATTCTTCAAATATTTAGTGGTTTTTCGTAAGTTTAGGGAAATTATTATATGAGTGATATTTAATAAGCTAATCTGTACAATTGTACCTATATTGGTATAAATGTTGCGAATTTAAGGCTGTTGGTGTCTGGTGATCAAAAATGTAATAACAAAAAATGACCTATATATTTTTATTATTGTAATAAAGAGAAACGCTACCCTCTATTCTCGTTTTGATCCAGTACGGTTATATAATAATTGTTGTTGCCAAAACTATCTTAAATTAACGAACTATAAAATAACAGTTCCTAGAGGGAAATGCATTATTAAACATTTTTCAACGATTACCAAGGTGCAGTGTACTATGGTGTTACAACTAGTGAATAAGGGTGTATTTTAATTGTGAATTGGTTTTTTATTTAGAACTAACGACGCCGGGAGTATCTGAGTAAACTTGCTAGTTTTCTATTGCTTCCTCAAAAGGTATATACTCAATACTGTAAGTTTCATCATTTATTTAAGAAAGTAAAAAAACAAACCACAGTTATATTTAAATTATATTTACTTACCTACGTGTTTGACTTCCAAAAAACTTAATTTTGTTGTTGAAAAATTGTACACGGCAATATATAATACAAACAGATTAATTGAGTACGAAATTAGATAGTTGTTATCGCTGATTTGAGTAGCCATCAACTCATCTACAACATGACGGATATCGGAATATATTTGAATAGGAAGGTACAGTTATTTAAATTTTAAAGAAATTATAATATGAAATACAAATGTATAAATTTAATTGATGTTCAAAGTAAAAAATATTATGAAGAAAGATATATAGATATATATATGTATTTAACAAATGTATATAGATGACTTCTGACTCAACAATATAAGTTATTATTAATACTTCCTCATAAATAAATTGATTATTATGTTTCGTAGAATACCCACTCGCTGATAATGAAATCTTAATTATTCAATTATATTTAAGTTCAGATTAATTTTATGACAAAACAATGTTATGACAAACAATACCTAAAATACACCTACCTACACAGAATCATTATTATTTTATTTTATTGTTATGAAGGTACATTATTATAATGTACCATATTGTGGAATTGATTATTGCTGTATTGCGTATACACAAAATTAGGAGAATATTCCATTTATACAATTTTTTATTAAAAAACAACAAATAAACTTTAATATTATTAACGACTTTTATTTATGGATTAAAACAAAAGACGTTTACTAGTAAATAGTAAATTCCAACCGTCTAGTGTATCTACATAATATGATCAGTGCTGTAACTTCGAACTCGTAAATGGTAAATGATATTTGAGTATTGATGTCAAATGCTAAAATTAGTTACAAAAAAATGCATAAGCTCTAAACTTACTATTTTGAATTCGAAGCAGAGCAACGAATGTATTGTTTTTTATGTTTTATAATATACTTTTTTGTCTATCTCCACCTGTTGAAGCTGTAAATGCTTCAATCGTCAATTTCAATATGTTTTCCAATAAGAAAGCTAATCTATTAGTAAAAAAAAAAATAACTATTGGGTACCTCTCTGCTGTACATTATTATTTATCATGTACCCATGTGGCCGTGGGTGTCACTATAATGAATATACATGTTGATTTTTTATAAAATCATTGTATACGAAAAATGTTTTTGAGCGAGGAAGATCTATCAGCCTTAATTTATTGTAATATTTTCAAATTACAAAAAATATAACTAAAATTGCTATCCTCCGTTTAAATTTATATTATTTTTTGTCTACTTAAATGGAACTTTGTTTTAAATTTTCAATCATTACCTTTACAATTTGAACGTTCTATACGTTTTTAACTACTAAATATAAAATAGTTTGTACGTTTTCAATTTAATAAAGTTTGTCAACATTTGAAATAAGATTATAAAAAAATCGTAATTGTGTTTTTTTAAATATTTTCAACTGCTATTTTAATAATATATATCAAGAACCTTAAATTCAATTTTAAAGTTTTTTGACCCAACAAATAACATTATGTCCACCAAGTCATTGCAAAATAAATGGAAACGAATTAGCCGACCAACACGCGAAAAATACATAGCAGTATCCGAAGCTCCCTAACAAAAATACAGTACAATATTAGACACATAAAATTAATCACACAGAATATTTGGCAAAATCACTGGTCAAACCAAAAAACTGAGAATCGGCCACGTCTACGTACACCTAATAAAAAATCAACCACCTACAAAATGCATGCAATGAAGAAGAAGGTTATTTGGAGAAATTGCTCCTTCGAAATTATTGATAGGTCGGTGGTCCCCCTGTCACAAAATACCTAGCCTGTAGCCACCTAGGTGACTAGATACTTAAAAGAAAATAGAAATACATATTAGATGAATATGCGTCTTACTCATGTAACCAATAAGGCAATAAATCTCTACAAATATATGCACTATGTATAGTTTGTAAATTTGAATTTTTATGTTGGAAATTTCAAATATTTACTGTTATTCGTTTTTTAATTACAACAAAATAAAACAATCACTAAATGAAAAATCAAGTAAATATCTTAATCTAAATAATTTGAGCTTCAAACTGTCATAAAAATTTAATTTGACTCTTTTGTTTGATAAAGATAGAAGAAGTTATGAGAAATTGTATATTCAATTTTCAAATTTTCAAATTTTAGATATAAAACAACATTTTTTTTTAATTTCTATCTCAAAATAATTTGCAAATGTTCGTGATTTTTACGAATTTTGTTAAAATATGAACTTTTGGCACTTATAAACAATTATTGCGAACTTAAACTCAATTTTTTTTAAATGTCCACTCATAAAAACTTAGGAAGAATCTTGTATTACATTTTCAACAGAGCAAAAATTGGTTTATCAACATTAATTTAAAAAAACTGATAATCAAAAATTTCATATGCCTATAAATAGCTCAACATGAATCGAAATATTTTGATATTTTATGGTGAATAGAAAATGCTTTTATAAATTTACAGTGAAAATGTCATGTATCTACGGTAATTTTTTAGGTAGGTAGTTATTTAATTATTATGATCTATCTATCTGTATTTATGTATTTAAAAATGAAGTAGGTACCTACGATTATGAAGGATTATAGACTTGGAAACTACTGAACCAATTTCGACAAAAATTTCAAAACTCGTATGAATATATGCATCAGGAAACTTTAGAGTGGTTAGATCCACATTCGAAAATATACTTTGGTACATGCTGAATTTCCCATAAACCCAGATTGGTACACCTATATAGTGCCGTACTGCCGTACATTATGTTTGTTTATTTTAAATTATAATGCAGCTAGTATTATAATACAACATTTAAATATTTATACCAAACACTATTATTATTAACTTTTGATTTTTGAGTCAAAACCGACTTATACCGTAGAACAGTGAGAATCGTGATATAAATAAAGACCGTAGCATAAAATGAATCTAATGTTTTGTAAATATTAATGTATATTATAGCATGAAATATTATAATAATGTACCAACGTAAGTTTCTTCCCACGAAACATATTTAAAGTTACAAAAAAGTCACTAAAATCGTTATTATTCGTTCAAATATTTAATTTTGTCAAATTTACAAATATCTATAAAAAAAAAAATAATACATATTATGTATCTTCAATATTTTTAAAAACTAGTAATAATGTAAGAGGAACCATAAATACATTAAGATTTTTGACAGCTAACATATTTTTTGATAATTATTGAATTAAAAATCGAACATTTAAGCACTACTTACCTAAAGAAAATGTGTATTTAAATTTCAAACATTTAATGACAATTTCAAATATCTTCGGTTATTTGATTTTTAGTACCTAATGGTTTACACTGAAATAAGAAAATCGACTTTATCTAAGACTAAGTTTGAGTAAAATTTCTAATTATTTCTAGTTATTAAAAAATATACCGGACATTAAATTTACTCTTCCTTGAGCACGATAACAATATTACTATTAGATCACATTCATATTTCACAACAACTATCAGTACCTACTTATTAGTGTCTTGCTACAATTTGTTATACTGATACAAGTACTTATTATAAAATATGTATTATTAATATTGTTTTCTAACTTTATAATTTCCGCTGTTAAATAAAAAAATGGCCTAGAACTATTTTTTGCTACAGCAAAGTGGGAGCAGCTTAGTTAATTCAATAGCATTCAGCCAATGTGCACTGACGCCAAAAAATGCTTATTTGTTGTTGATATAAATGTTTTATCCAAAAATCTCAGGATTTCTTTTACACCAATCCAACTGTCTGAAACAACATTTAAGCCAAATTACTACCTTTTTTAAGGTGTATGCAGTGGCGGAACCAAGGGGGGTGTTTTGGTTGTATGGAGACCCCCCTTGAACCGTGTAATAGGAAATTTATATTTAATTATATTCAATAACTATTGAAAAAAAATGTTCAATCTTTTTTTAAATTTATAATGTTAACTGCCATCATAATTTATTTTTAAGTATCATTAGAAAGTATTGTTTAAAATATTATTAAAACAGAATGCAAATGTGTTATCTTATATCTAGTGTTATAATTTATAACTTATAAATGTTACTATGCCTTTTGTCTTTAGTCCATAGTATATCGACAAATTCGGAAAATAATCATGACTAAAAATAAATATATTATCAAAACATTTTAAACCCAAAGATGTCTATAAAAAAAAGGTTATAGTGCAGTATAGATATATATTGGTCTTATTGTTTTAAAAAATATATTTCAGCACACAGTATCTTTATGTATATATTTACAACAACCTAACATAGATTTAATTCAAGCTCTCGACCACATTGATAATGTTGTACAGTACAACTCAATTACATAAAGTTAGGAATAATGTAAAACGAATTTTCAAAATATTTTGTTGAACTTCAGAGAAAATCAAATGATTTAGATTTTGAAATAAAAATGCGTAGAATTACAAAGACAGACTTATAGACAAAATATTCCAAGTAAGACGGTTCAAGATTATTTTAAAGTTTCTTTATTTATACCTTTTTTAGATTCATTCATAAGTCAGTTAAATGACAGAATTATTAATCATAAAGAAATTATTCAAGGGTTTCAAATGCTTTTTCCAATTGAACCTCCAACTAAACAACAAGAAAATTTGATTGAAAATTGGTGGAATTTTATACTAATGACCTGGAAGATTCATTAACGGTTTTAGCTGAAGTAAAAATTTGGCATCATCAAGTTTTCAAACTACGACTGGAAACCAATTTAAAAATGGTTACTGTAATTGAAGTGATCAGTAATTGCAATAATGCCCTATATCCCAACATTTATAAGCTACTGATAATTCTATTAACGTTACCTGTAACATCTTGTGAAGCCGAGAGGTCATTTTCAACTTTAAAGCGAATAAACACATACCTCAGAAATTCAGCAGCAGACAATAGATTAAATGTTTTAGCAGCATTGAATATTCACCGAGAAATTAAAGTTGATACATATGCCGTTATAAAAGAATTAGCAAAGAAAAAAAACGATTAAACTTTGCAATTTAAAATTTATAATATTGTTATATTTATAATTATTAATTTTGTAAACTTCTTGAAAATTGCTAAAATTGTATGTAATTTTTATCTAAACATGCGTGATATAAATTGTACATTTAATAAAACGTTAGACATCAGTGGTGCATTCAGAAATAATTATGATAGTGGTTTGATTCAAATCGTTTGAACAAAACAATATAATAGGGTAAATATTAAATGGTTGTCTGAGATTTTCTACTCAACTTTACAAAAAATAATTAGGGGAAACTGTATATGCTACTGGCAGACATCTCCCTTGAAAAAATTCTAGTTGTGCCACTGGGTGTATGTTTAACAGTAAATTCATTGGAATTACCTACTCTCAAATTTCTTCCTCACAATATAAATTTTAATTCAGTCTGATGTGTAACAACTATAATATGACAAACACAAATGTCGCATATACCAACACTCAATTTTGAAATCAATAACATTAGAAATGTGTTAAAAATTACATTCTTAACCGTATATTAATTATTTTAAGTTTTAATAAATGTATTATTCTTTTAAGGGGTTTATTTCTGCTTATTGATCATTAGTGTATAAAAAATATGAATTTAACATTGTAAGTAAGGATTGTTTAAATTGTTTTCCAATACTTTAAATTTTAAAACAACTGTTTACTGCCAAAATTGAGAATACATTGAATTTAACTGCTATCATATTTGAACATTTTGAGTTTGATTATGTTCATACAATAAACAATTCTCAAATTCAAGCTAAAACACTTATCGAATACCTTGGGATTTAAGGTACAGATGTCTAATTATAAGAATTTTTTCAAAATTTAGAAATATTTGAAGTATTAAGAAACTTAGGAAACATTTAAAAACGTTAAGGAATGTCTAAATTTAAGTATAAAAAAAGAAAATGAAATAATTTTTATGTTTTATATTTGTCATACAATTAAACCAAACTATTCATGCATCAACTTTTCTTTTTGTCTTGCCAACTTCTTTTTGGATACTTTCTTCTTCTCAGCCTCATCCTTGGGAACTTTAGCAACAAACTTCTGCTTTTCAGCAAGAATTACTTCAATATGACAAGGTGAGCTCATGTACGCTAAAAAAAAATGTTTTAATTAATAAATAGTAATATCAAGATATAATATTGTAAGAAACTTTAAATAGCCAATCGATCTCACAAATTTGGTCCATTGAATTAAATTTATGATTTTAAATAAAATGATAGATAATTTAATACTAGTCAATTGATCTTTTAAGAAGACGCTACACTGCCATTTGTTGTTTCAAGTCTTACAAATAGGAAACATTTTAAAATGTTACGCTCGGCAGATCACATTTAGCTTTGTTAATTAAAATATTAAGAGTGAATTGACTTCTTATGAAATTAATAGGTAAGGTTATTATTTAAGGCATCCCATAGTTTTTTTTTATTATATTTTAATTTTAAAGTGAGCCAGTAGTATTTTAAGATGCACCAACAACTTACTGTTTTAAAACACTCATTTACAAAATTAAAATATAATAAAAAGCCTGTGATTGCCCTGGATAATTATCTTACCTTTAAATTTTAAATGTACAAATATATAATTTCATTAACAATAAATTAGAATGACTTAATGTTGGAAAGCTTAGATAAATAAAAAAAATTTAAATTATTTGGACTCGCATTAAATAGCAAATGGAGCTAAACATGATCTGCTCAGCGTAACATTTGATGTAACACACTTGTAAGAAGGAAACAATAAATGTCTGTGCAGCATCATAAAAGGAGAAAATACCTTACTGTTGTTTTCAATATAACAATGAATTAACATATAACCAAATTTAAAAGGTCTGAATATGATGTATGATCTTAGGAAGACTCTTTTGTATGCTCATAATTTACAACAAAATTAAATTATTAAATAATATTCTATAAGCAACCTAATTTTTATCACCAATGAATAAAAAAACTGATACCCAATTGTCCTAATATTGATCACTTAATCAGGATCGGTGCAGCTCTAATAAAAATCCTTTGACCATACCACTTCTTAATATACAACAGAAACCTAACAGAAATAAGGTTGTTCAAAATAACTAATATTCATAAATGCATTTATTAATAACTGTATAATTTAATAATTATTCAAGTAATAGCATTAAAATAATTCAGCTACACTATCATCTAAAATTAATGTATAAATTTAAAATATTTTATTTGTATGAATCTTTGTAGGGAATTTGACAATGGAAGTTTATATTTTATTTAAAATTTGAGCAATTTGAGAAGTGCCTTTAACACGGATCTATGGTAAATACATTTTCAGCACCTCTATTGTTGGCGATTGCATACCTAAATAGAATAGAATATAAACATAAACGAGAGGCTGATGCAGCAAAAGCAAGTCAATTATTATTGCTTAATATTTGCAGTCCTAAACTCTATGATTGAATGCTATATTGCTATAGGACAGATCATCATTTTTCTAAGGATGCCATTTATGCCTTCTTCAAGGACAGTAGGGCATAAATTATGTATTGTAAAAATAATTCACAAAATAGTGATGTCCTTTTCAACAATGTATTTTAAAAAATGGTTGATTAATATTTCAACTTAAAAATAGAAAAACTTATTGGCAATTAAAATTGAATGTTATGTTAGTTGTTAGGTTAAATAACATACACAATTCAGTACAATGATACAATATTATATAATATTAAACTAATTAATATGAAAAATCAATTGAACTTACGGTTAATACGACCGTGGGCTCTGTAAGTACGTCTCCTCAGACAAGGAGCACGGTTTATTTGAATGTGTTCAACAAACAGACGATCTACATCCAAACCTTTAATGTCAGCATTAGATTCGGCATTTCTCAAAAGCTGTAACAAGAACTCAGCAGACTTCTCTGGCCAGCGACCCTGAGTCATACCCCACTGTTTGGCCTGTAAAAACGAATGGAATAAAATTGAAGTCAAACCGTTAAAAATATAATGAAGTTCATTATTTCATACTTGAGCACAACGACCAACACCGCCATTGAACCTCCTGAAAGGTACACATTCTTTCTTGTCCTTAACATTCTTCAAGTATTGTACTGCACGACGGAGAGGCATCTTCTTGATAGTTTTAGCTGTCTCTCTCGTGTTCTGTAACAAAAAAATCATTTATTAAAACGACATCAGGGAGTATGAACGCTAACATGTGTATGAATAAAGGGTTAATTAAACTCAAATACCTTGAAATGAACTCTTAAATTGGAGCCCCTTGCCTTACAGGACTTGGTTGGATTTTTCGGTTCCTTAGCGTATCGACCCATGGTTGGGTCTATCAAACAAAAGAGAAAATGTAATTAATATTGAAAATTCTAACAAATATAAGTAAAGAGTAAGAATACGAATTGAATTTCAATATTTAAGTAAGGGTTTCAAAAATGAATGAATGGATTGAATCAGATAAATATCCGCACACTTACCTCAAAATAAACGGGAGTTGAAAAAGAACTAACAAAATAATGGAATACGAAATATCTACTCTGTTTAGGTTTGACGACGATACGGACGGATAAAAATTTAAGGTTAGTCAGCAGTGTGGCCATTACAACTGAACGTAATTCCCGTAAAACATATTACCACTGGGAATTGGATCTGATTGTGTGGTGTAAATCATGAACCACGATCTTAGAAGATAAGGTGATAACACTTCGTGAAAAAGTGGCACAATTTTTGACGACATTAATTAAGTGAACATAAATACCACTAAAAAAAATTTAAAATTTAGTTCAGTTTGTACGCTATGATATGAAAACTGAAAAAAACTTTATCATTTAGTTTTTCGCTTTTAATTTTTAAAAGATAATCGATAGAATTGAAATCATATTGCAAAAAAAGAGGCAGGTTAAATTTTTGAATAAAAATATGTCAATTCAATATCTCTTTTTCACACTATTTTTTCGTTCATTCGTGTTTACCATTTTATAAACATTTACAAAATGTCATGGAGAATTTTTTTTTTATTCATCATAGATTCATGAAACATTCTACTTCTTCCTTATTTTGAATTGTATAGACACAAAGCAACATTCAAAATATTTAGATTTATTTTAACCTGCTTGTTACATGAACCTATTCAGCAGAACGTTTTAAGGTACGCCAGTATTGATTTATAAATTAGTAAAACAGGTAGAAATGTTATAAATTTGATTGGTATAATATGAATTTTAGACTGTTCTCAGGCCCCCCACCCCCTCTCCGTGATCAGGCCACTGATGGTTACCATATATCTTGGGTTATTCGTTTTTGAGTCACATTAAAAAAATTAAAACTGATTTTGTCGAAACTTGGTAATTGCTTACTATATTATCAGAGTTCACGTATAATAAGTAATAACTATTAACTATTATATGTCTGTTAAAAATGCTACACCTTCACAGCGTGGTGTTTTTTGAAAATATATTTACACAAAAACCACTTAATCACACAAAGAAAATCGCTTCTCTAGTGAACAACAGAACTTTGATACACATATTTTATTAAACAAACAGACAAGCTTTTGAATGTTTACATACATTTTTACAATATTACAATGTAAAAAGTAGTAGGCATCAAATATATTTAATATTGTATTGCTACAATGTTACTGCCGACCATTATTGAGAAATACGATGTTTGTAAATCAATATATTTATTATGTGGCTAGTGGCTACTTAACTACTTTGTTTATAGAGCACGCTTAGTGTTGGTCCAGCCGGCCTGTCTATCCTGGGGCCCTAGGATTTTTTATATATTGGGGGCCCTATCCATATAGGAAAGAAATTTTAAAAAACATCTTAGTTAATCCACGATTTTCAAAAAAATTTTTTGTGTAATATTATATATTTTATGTAACATATTATATTTTAAATAAATCAGTCATGGTGGGGTATTACAACAACATGCATGTCATTACTAAAATTAATGGTAACATTTTAAGTTTTTTACGGTTTCAGGTTGAAACAACAACAAA